AAAGTACCCGTTACTGCGTCATGAAAGTAAACATTGTTCTCTGAAAGCACAGTGCCTGAGTCTTCCACGTTTCACGCTTGTCTCCTGCTCAACCTCAACCATGTTACGGCTACCACGGGACAAGCTCGTGGTTTTGAGTAAAGGGTGCTCATGCAGGTGCCAGACCCATTTTTCATGATCTCAGCGGTGAGGGCACAGATCAGTGCCCCAAAAAGAACAGAGTCATTCCTCATGTGATGTCGTCACTTAGCCCTCATTATGCGTTCAAGCCAACGCATTTCAGCCTCCGTGCTTGCTCCTACCTAGAACAACGGTTTCCATGTCGTGCGACATCACTGACCTGGCAAATGCAAGGCACAGGCGACGGATTTTGGTTGAATGAGCGACTCCATTATCAGCCAAAATAATTTACGGGTTACTAAGAACATTTAGACCAGGGCGACGGTCCTGCGATTTAACTCTGATTTGATCGTATGATTGCCTGTTACGATTGAGCCGAGAGGCTTATAATTATCGACTTCCTCTATGGCTTGCCATCTCTAATACGCTAGTAGATCCGTTGGATCTGACGGGTTCCTTATAGCCGTCAAGTGACATGGCCAGCTCCATGTACTACGGACAGGACAGTGGCATCCGCCTACTCCGGGCGGTGATATCTTGCCGGATATTTTGAACTGTGCATTCCCTATAGTATGAGACCTTTGTCTCTGCCATGGTCAGCACTGCTTCAGAGAAGAATGCTGAGAACAGTGCCAAATAGCAACAGCGACAGACAGATTTTTCTGTCTAACTCCCCAGTTAGCAAGAAGCACTCAGACACATCTCAGTGGAGTTGAAAGCAGGCATTGTTCCTTTCAAAATTTCTTTCAAAATGGAGACGGTCTGTTCATGTATCCGTCACCAGTTCAAAGTTTTGGAAATCTCTGAACAACGTAGTGAATCAAAAGTAATCTAACAGTATAGGAAATTGATCACCCAAGATAGCTTGTCTTGTCTGTAGAGCGCATTAGATGAATACTTGGTCAAGGAGGATTCTACCGTCAGGAAACCTATATGATCTTGACGCCTGCCTTAATCTTTCCCAAATTACTTAACCGAGTAGTTCCCCGGAAGCTGATGGTACAGCGATACTATGGTAGTTGGCGCAGTCAGTCGACCGCCCTCGTTACTGTGAAAATAGATCATGACACTACCATAATATTGAACAAACCTAATCGATTTGTTTATGAAAGATTGCTGTGTTCTTTCATGAAATTTCGTTTTAAGGTTTGCTGACTGGTATTGTTACTAATAAATCCATGGACATACCCGTACAGCAATTTTTAGCATCATACTTGACCATGATGCTCCAAATGGGCTCAATGTCCTGCAGTTTTTTGTAGAGCTCATTGAACTGGTGGACTTCTTGCTGTCAACAGTCTAAACATTTCTCCGTAGCTCAACAGCGTCTAGGAACAGCTATTAAATGTTATTAGCAGCTGAAAGTTACATTATTTTTTTATACTATAGGAACGTAGGAGAAGCTCAGTGCCAGATGGTTGCAGTTGAATTTGTGGTGTGTTCTTCTGAACGGCAGCTGAATTGATTACAGGCGGTGTTGTTGAACAACATCCTCAGTGTTACCGTATCGTCAGTTGATTATCTTGTGAGTCTACTCCATTATTTCCCTTCGTAAACTTTCCAGGTAACTGTCCCTCGAGAATGTCGTGACGCAAATCACGACGACGTTTTATCACCGACCTTGAATAGGCAACAAGATACAAATCGAAACTCTACAAAAGCACCAAACAAAGTTTATGTCAATGAAACGTTAATTTAAAATGTTTAATTTAGAAGTGGTCAAGGCCAGCGAGTCACTGGGCGACCCGCGTTGGGTCGATCAGCTTTACCGGAACCTGGCGGAAATCGCCGAGGGATACAGTGCTGACGGCAAGGAAAGTGCGGATGCTAAGATGAGCAACCGCTACGCCGCCGCCCTTCTCGCTAGGCAAGAAGGTGATGGTCAGGCAAACGCAATGCCAAGGTTCGACAAACGGCTGGGTGCCCGTTCTCGTCTGACCTACAGTCCGTACCTGAAGTACTTTGGGAGGAATAGCCACTTCCAGAAACGTCCTGGCGGACGCGTTTTTTCGTCGTCCTCTCCGTGGCAGTACTTCTACGGTGGCACGAAGTACCGACGTGGCGACGAGTCGCTCAGCCTGTACCCCTCAGACGACGACGACGACGTGTTCAATTACCCGGATGTCGAGAAGTCGGAAGATCGCATCAAGAAGCTCGGCGCACGCTTCATCCCCTTCAGATACTACAATCCATATGCTGAATATCCGCATTACTAAACTTCAAGCTTTTGTTGTGGTGATGTCGTTTGACGTACGTGTTGATGCTTCAGTAGTGGTGGCTTGATGTGCATTTTTGGCTGCGCCATTTTCCGTAAATTTTACGGTTGTGTAGCGTTTACCAGTTTTTTTCCATTATACGTTCAAAAAGTTGTCATAAAGAGTTCTGAGTTTTACAATGGACTCGTTCATTGGTCAGTCGGACAAAATTTTTAAACATACTGCTTCCGCCTTC